AAACTAAATCTAAACTTCTCCTGGTTATTTTGAAATGCATAATTTCAAGTCTTCTCAATAGAGTTTTTATGGGCTTTAGAGAAACTATATCTACATAGGCCTTAAATTTTAGGACAGAAATGCAGGTGACCACTTCTTGCTACTAAAATAATCATTTATTATTATTTGCTATCACTCTTTTAAAAAAAAATATATAGATAGATAGATAGATAGATAGATAGATAGATATATTACTGATTTTTTACAGAGAGGAAGGGAGAGAGAGAGTTAGAAACATCGATGAGAGAGAAACATCAATCAGCTGCCTCCTGCACACCCCCTACTTGGGATGTGGCCGCAACCAAGGTACATGCCCTTGACCGGAATCGAACCTGGGACCCTTGAGTCCACAGGCCAACACTCTATCCACTGAGCCAAACCGATTAGGGCTGCTGTCACCCTTGTGATAGTTAAATGGTCACTGTTACAAAGTGACAGTAAATAATAAATTGGCAAGTCCTTATTGTCTGGTGATAGTGAAAATTTACCTCAGTGTTTTTAGGTGAGACAGTGTAAGTCAATGGCTAAAGAATGAGAGCTTTGGAAGCTGACCTAGATGTTAAACCTGAGTTTAATTTTTAGAGTTTAATCTGTGTCCCTTAACACTTGGAGTTTCGGTATCCCATCTATAGTAATAAAATGGCAACAATGACAACTGTATTTACCTTATAGAATTACTGTGAGGAGGGGGAGAAGAGCTAACGGATGTGCAGTATTTATTAGCAAAGGGCCTGGCATTTCGTAAGCCAGTATCTGGTGCCAGTATCTGGTGGTGGTGAAGTTCATGGTGATTGCTATTTGTACTAAGGATCCATATAAAACTTATAACACGCGAAATTATGTGTTTAAGCACTCGCGACACTTTGTTTTTGAAAGGTAGCCAAGAGCATTTTGAAGGTTGTTTTACTCAGTGTGTTCCCAGGTATTAAGAGAAAAAGATCTTTTAATTAAATTTTCCCTTCAAAAACATGGCCGAGTAAAATGGAATTTTTCTAATTTAGAGTCCCCCATACCTCCCCTTTATCCCAGGGCAGTGCATGGGTCATTCCAGGCTTGTCCAAAAATCCCTTGCTGTTCTACCTTCCTCCCCAGCCCGTTTGGCACCAGTGGGAAGGCAACCAGTCTTTTGCCATCTATTCTGCCTGCGACCCAGGGTCTTGATGGTGACGGTGCCAAGTTCGTCCTGCTACCCCCAGCGCCCACATTGCCCCCCTCAGACTGGCTCTGAGTTGAGGGCCTCTTGTTGCTCACCATGTCTCTAAAGCCCCCACATACTCATGGGGCATTTGGGGAACAAGGTCACACTCCTGAAACTTGGGGAGTTTTATAATCCTGTTATCGCTCTCTGGCTCAGAGGGGAGAGAGTTTATGAATTTTGGGGCAAGATTTTTTCATACCTTTCAAACTAATAGGAGAACCTTCCATCATAGTGACAGTTTGAGGAACTTGATTTATAGGTGTAATAGGCTTTTATTTAAATAAATGTATTCACATCGGCAACTAATACCACATCTGATCATTCTCTCTCCTGCTGGGAATGGCTAATGATGTATGAAAGCTCATGTTCAGTCGCTTTGTTTACAATAATATTCAACCTGCCATTCAAAAAACTTTGTTTTTCTTTAGTCTCTAGGTGACTGCCCTTTACTCACCAAATGCTTGCAAATGCAAAGTAGGAAGTGTATGTCATTAACTTGAAGTCTACTTTTGTAATGTGACATATACAAAACCCAACTTAATTGTACATAGCACATAAATAACTGAAAATGCAGCAGAAGAAAAATTGACACTTGCATGATATCCTAGTTTACAAAGCATCCTTACATATATTATCTCATAACCTACATTTCTATAAGATAATCAGGACATGTATTTTCTTCCTTTTACAGAGAAAAGAGCCAAGACTTACAGATTTTAACTCAATGTTCAAGTTCGTAGTTTCGCCAGTTACTAGGTGACCTTGAATGGGTCTCTTAATCACTCTGCGGGTGTTTTTCCTGTAAATCAGCATTTGAAAGAGCGCCTGCCTCCCGGGGGTGTGTGGTGGTGAAGTGAGTTAGTGCACAGTCATGCTCACTAGATGGTAGCCACCAGCTGTTATTACCACACACGGGAAATGCCGGACTTGGACCCAAACCCAGGCCTTCTGACTCCTGGTCCAGAGCTCTTTTCATAGTGCCCTGTGGAACTTGCCTCTTAGTAAATCATTGATGCAGTTTCTATCTCCCGTTGACCTTGTTATTCTCGAAGGGATCTCTTTTCCACTTTGTTTACTTTGACCTTTGTTTGCTTTGACCTCACTTCTGAAGATCAGGAGGGAAATGTGTTTGAAGGAGTCTTCCTTCCAGTTTTTTGTTTTGGTTTCTATCCTCTGGTTCCTATTGTCCTGCTGGTTTGCTTGACCTAGAGATATCTACCTGAAGGTGTTCTAGTTGGTGAAACTATCAGAGAGCTGTGTTCAGGAGCGACGTGGGGTGTTTCTGGTGTATTTTGTTTTGGTTGGAAGGCCTTTTCATGTGATGCCCGGCTAAAGTCGGAACCAATGCAGGATTTGATGTGGGAGATGGTAGAGCGTGGACAGTGATGGGCAGGAAAGGTGCAGGCAGCCTGGTGGCCTTCCAGAGGCAAGGACTGGAGCTCCCCCCACCCCAAGCTCACTGAGCGTGCCCCATTCCAGCCCATTTTTTAAAATCCTCGTCTGAGGATATTTTTTCCATTGCTTTTCAAAGAGAGTAGAAGAGAGAGAGGGAAGGGGGTGGAGAAAAAGACAGAGAGAAAGAGAAAGAGAGAGAGAGAGAGAGAGAGGGAGGGAGGGAGGGAGGGAGGGAGGGAGGGAGGGAGGGAGGAAGGAAGGAAGGAAGGAAGGAAGGAAGGAAGGAAGGAAGGAAGGAAGGAAGGAAGGAAAAGAAAATATGAGAGACACATCAGTTGGTTGCCTCCTGCACACACCGTGACCTGGGCTGGGGAGTGAACCAGCAACCAACGTACATGCCCTTGATCGGAAATCGAACCCGCAACCCTTTGGTGTGCAGGCCGATACTCTAGCCACTGAGAAACACTGGCCAGGACCCCAGGCCTTTTTGATGAGCCTGTGCAGTGTACACAGACAGGGTTCTTCCAAGAACAAGCTATCCAGCGGGCCTCTGAGGACCTCTGTGAAGATCACTTTTAACCCGGTGAGGCAGGAGGTTGGGGAGCACCTGCCAACACCTCCTCTTTGTGATTTTTGCATTTTTTAACTCACCTCTAACATTCTCTCTGGCAAGTGGAATTAGTGTTTTCACATTAAGTGAAAGTACTGAATTTTTAATAGAGTCCCTGGGGCTTGGTGCTCGTTTGATACTATTTCGGGAAGAGAAACACTATGAAGAAGTGATGTATGATCGTTTCTAGTTGTGCCGTTAGGTTTCATTTTTCTTGCCTGGCCCCCAGCCGAATCCTCTGAGCCGGCTAGCCTGGGAGCAGAGCCCAGAAAACAGCTCTGGGCCCACCGCATCCACAGCCTCCCTCCCTCCGGCGTCCACACCCCCGCTCCTGTGGGCTCGGTGCCTCCCCGTGTCAGTTGGCTTCTGCCTGTCGCAGTGGTCACTCTTGGTGCGCTGGGTAGCACTTGACCTTCTTCCTGTTATGTTTACTCGGATGCTCTGGATAGTAGACGAGGCGTTTGGAAAAGGGGTTTAAAAAAGAGCACCCGTCATTCATCATCCACTGCCAACGTTTCTACGTGCTGCCCAGGGCTCCAGGGAGCTTTGCTTCTAGGCCTGTTGATTAGCGTCTTTGATGCATGAGTATCTTCTGAATACGAGGGTTCTTATCCCTTCCTCTGCTTCCATCTTCCTGGCACGCAATGCACCAGGGGGCGAATTGTGTTGGTGATGGTCTCCTTTGAGGTCAATAGCAGGACCGGGAGTGGAGGCGACAGCTGGGAGACTTAGGCAAGCCAGAGGGGTTGGAGAGAGGTTGAACAGTTGAACGCTCAGGCTTAGACTAGCTCAGGATGGGCCCTTGCTCAGCTGTCATTCGTGAGTGCCAGTGTGGCAGCAAGTGTCGGAGGTGGCCCCTTGGGCATCTGTTGTCCTCTTTGAAGTCTCTGCTGATTCTCCCAAGTCAGAATCCTTCCTCCTCTGAGGTCCCACGGCACCTCTGTCTCCACCCATCTCCCTCAGTGTGGTAGCTCGTGGTTCATTGTCTAGATGTCTGTTTCCTCTCCTACAGAAGCCTCTGGACAGCAGAGACCTACTCTGGTTTATCTCAGTTTTATCATAATTTATAGATTGTATCCCACTGTCAAGTTCTTAGCATCTTACTGAACTGAACTAAGCTGGCCGTGTCCATGGAAACCCTGCCGTTAGTGTCCTGTTTATAGATTGTGTGCTCTGTCACCAGACAGGAGGGTATCCTTGGAGAAACAGCATCATCACAAGTAACACACTAGCCTATTGTGTGGCTTTTGGTTTTGGACGCGTTTTGTTGGAATATAATTCACACACCCTATAAATGCCTCCATTTAAAATGTACAGTTCAGTGGTTTTCAGTATGTTCACAGATGCCATCACTACAATTAATTTTTTTAAAACTTCCATCATCCCAATAAGAAACCCTGTACCGATCCCCGCCAGCCCCCCAGCCCTAGGCAACCACGAATCTATTTTTTGTCTCTGTAGATTTGCCTCTTATGGACATCCCGTGCACATGGAATCATACAACATGTGTTATTGTGTACCTGGCTCTTCCCCCTTAGTATCAACGCCGAGGCAAGGAAGTGTGTCTAGCGCACCTAATAAATACAATGCCTGGCAGGCCAGGGTCTCAGTAACTGTGACTTCGCTGTGTCCCCTTCACGTTCGTAGATGTTGTTAGTAAGAGTTGGCCAAAGTTAAGCAATAGATAACGTTGTAAGTGGTGTTCTGAGTTCAGTGTACTGATTCCTCCCCACGCCCTTTGTTTTTGTTCTCCCCAAGGTTATGCCTTTCTGCTGTTCCAGGAGGAGAGCTCAGTGCAAGCTCTGATAGAGGCCTGCCTGGAGGAAGACGGGAAACTGTACCTGTGCGTGTCCAGCCCCACCATCAAGGATAAACCGGTACGTAGCGTGCAGCCAGCTGTTGCTTTTCTAGAGCACGTGTGCCCCTGGACTAGCCGACAGCCCCTCCTTGTCATGGGAATGCCGGTAACTGGCACCCTCTCACCCGGGGTGACCTTGCTGTGCCGTGGAGCTGGGCTGCCGCGGATGGGATGCTAATAACAAATTACTCAGTATCCCGTTTTATACCTTGGGGACCGTTCGTAAACAAATGTGCCCTTGTCTTTCACTTTACAGCTCTTTTAAGCTAATTCCTATTCAGAATCACTTTTAATTGAAGTAAATAATGCTCTTAATGGTTTTGGCAGCTGGTTGGTATTATTATTTCAGATCAAGGACAGGAGTACTTTTTTTTTTTTTTAAGATCATAATTGTCCGTGTTTATGTGCCTTTGAATGCGAGGCATTTTGTGCTGAGTGCCCACAGCTGGCTAGATGGAGCCTCTGGGCCAGGAGCGTACACTCCACAGCGGAGAGCTTGGAACCGGGCCGGGGAGGGGAAGGACAGGGAATGTGGACCCCAAACCATCAACAGATGTACCCTAATACAGTGTGTGGTTACTGAGAGAGGAAGACTGCTTCCTTTCTCCTGGTAGAGTGGGTGTGAGTGGAGAAGGGGCAAACCTTTGTTCTGAGCAGAAGAAAAGAACTCAGTTAACATGGGAGAATAAGGATCTGTGGGAAGTCGGGAGGGGTGAGTTTGTGTGTGGAGACTTGGTGCTAGGAGAGGGGAGTAGAGTACAAAAGGCAATGGATCTTTGTTGGGGCCGGCCTGCAGCATCCCCTGTAAGACAGACCAGAAGACGGGGTCTCGCTTGGCAGTTAGATGCACCCTGAGAAATGTGCATGGGGGGAACGTTGGGGTTGGACATAAAAGTTAGAGTCTTGTCTCTAGCATTTAAACATCTTCTTGGCTGTGAATGAAATCACCTAATCCTTGCCGAATCTTGGTTTCCTGGTCTGTACAATGGGAAGAATAAGGGGATGTCAAGAGGCTCCGATGACAGGAGAAGGCATGTGAAAACATTTGGCGAGGGGAGGGACTTGTGTAACTGGATGGTGCTGTTAGTCTACCATAGTGCTCTTGGATTCAGAAGCGTGAGGATGGAGCTTATCTACATGGTGACATCTGCTGGAAAGAGGGGTGACATCTAGGACAGGGTTTATAGTTGGTTGCACAAGAATGATGCTGGGACTTAGCCCTCTCTAAGAGGGAGAGTGCAGTATGTAAAGCAGTAGAGGGGGTGATGAAGAAGGGAGATGCTGAGCATAATAGAATGATTGATGCAGAAGGATAAGCCAGGATTTTAATACATGTGAAGTGCCACTGTAATTTTCAAATTCTGGGGCCATTAAATTTTTTTTTAATAATACTTATCAGTATTAGTAGCATACAAGGCAGGGGGAAAGGAATAAAGAAACAGTATGTGGGGAAAAGGAGTAAGGAACCTTTAACTTTGGTCTGAATTTAAATAGTGTGGAGAGGCCGGCTGTTATGAGGGAGACATGGGGACTGACAACCATGGGAGCATGCAGGGTTTCATCTGAGTGAAAAGCAAGAAAGCTGAATTAACTTTTCTCAGTCTCTTTGGAATAGTGTGAGATGAGAAAGGCTGAACCCAATTGGTCAGGGTCAGATGTCTGACAGGTAATGGCCAACCTCCAGAGAACTCTGCCACTTCACATTGGTGGAAAGGGAATGGGGTGAGCTAGAAAGGGCTGAGATGGGATTGACTTTAGGAGGCGATTAGAAATATATTTATTTATTTATATATACACTAGAGGCCCAGTGCATGAAATTCATGCTCGGGGTGTGTGTCCCTCAGCCCAGTCTGCATCCTCTCCAATCTGGGACCCCTCAAGGGATATCTGACTGCCCGTTTAGGCCTTATCCTATCGGACATCCCTCCTACAATCCAAGATGCTGGATCACAACCACTCGCCTGCCTGCCTGCCTGCCTGCCTGCCTGCCTGCCTGCATGCTTGCATGCCTGATTGCCCCTAGCTGCTTCTGCTTGCCAGCCAGATCATCCCCTAACCACTCCCCTGCCAGTCTGATCGACGCCTAGTGGCTCCCCTATTGGCCCAATTGCCCCTAACAGCCCTCCTCTGCCAGCCTGGTCATCTTTAACTGTCCTCCCTGCAGGCCTGGTTTCCCCCAACTGCCCTCCCCTGCAGGCCTTGTCCCTCCCAACTGCTCTCCCCTGCCGGCTCAGTCACTCCTAACTGCCCCCTCCTGCCAGCCCAGTCACCCCCAACTGTTTTCCCCTGAAGGCCTGGGTCCCCCCCCCAACTGTCCTCCCCTACAGGCCTGGTCCCCCCGCAACTGCTTTCTCCTGCAGGCCTGGTAACCCCTAACTGCCCTCTCCTCCAGGCCTGGTTTCCCCCAACTGCTCTCCCCTGCAGGTCACCTTGTGGTGGCCATCTTGTGTCCACATGGGGGCATCCATCTTGTGTGTTGGAGGGACAGTCAATTTGCATATTACTTTTTTATTAGGATAAAAAGGCAGAAAGGTAGAGGTACATACACATTGAGAGAGTTATTCCCTAGTAGATTAAGAAGCAGTTGGATTGAGGGAAGGAGACTGGAGACGAGCTGATGGGCCTTGTATAGCATGGATGGCTCATCGCTGGCTCTGTGGGAGGAGGATATCCCTTGTTGGGCAAGTCTCACCAGACTGGGCATCTCTTGAGAGGGAATGAGCAGTGGTGGTTGCAGATGGAGGTGGTATGGAGGCAACACCATGACTGTTGAGTGTTCTCATTCCAAACACGTGTTACCTTTGGCTCGAGGGACTTCTGAAAATAATTGGTGTAATTATCTGTTTTGGAAATGTTTATGGAGAAACTAACTTTCCTTTGTTTGTGTTTTCTACCAATTTTTGCCTTATTGCAGTTTTCACTTGCTGAGCTCAAGTGAAGCAGTTTATTGGAGCTCAGTGAACTCTGAATGGTGGCTGCCGATCACATATTTCTTTGACCCAAGCACACTCAGAGTTTCCAGCATAAACAATTTGAATAAAATGTAGGCTGGGAAACATGAAAGTCCCCAAACACCTGTAATGTGTGAAGGAGCTCGATCCCATTATGGGTTCCAACTCTTCTGGCTCCGTTTTTGAAACCTTGTCTTCCTGTGCCTCAGCCCTACACCTCTCCCTACTGGCCTTGTTTAGCCACACTTTCCCTCCCATGTTTCCACACACCCCACCTCACTGGATGCTCCCACAGAAAGTGAGAGTTGGGATGAACCTTTGGGAGTAAACGAGGACCTTGGCAGCAGCTCAGAGTCAAGTCAGCATTTGGAACTCGTTTGCCAAACTCTCTGAGCTACGGCTGCTTTTTCTGCTTCTTAGCTTGGCTACCTCTCAGTATCCCAGGGCCCTCATTCTGCTGTTCTCTCCAGTCCTCCCTGGATTTCTCCTTGGAAATATAACATGTTCCAAAATGACCTCACAGGTTTTCTATCCTTCATCCTTCCCCTATCCTCCCTCCCCAACCCTCACACCCCCCTTCCGCATCCTCCTTCACCAGACCCCGTTCCCTATGTGTGGATTAGGTTAATCAAGATTCTTTTCCTAGTACGGAGCCTGATAGCCAGGTTCCCTCTGACTTAAACCTTCTAAGATCATGGTTTTGTTGTTGTTGTTGTTTTTGTTTTGTTTGTTTGTTTGTTTAAATATATTTTATTGATTTTGTACAGAGAGGAAGAGGGAGGGATAGAGAGTTAGAAACATCGATAAAAGAGAGTCATCGATCAGCTGCCTCTTGGGGATGTGCCCGCAACCAAGGTACATGCCCTTGACCGGAATCAAACCCGGGTCCCTTCAGTCCCCAAGCCAACGCTCTATCCATTGAGCCAAACCGGTTTCAGCTCATGTTTGTTTTTAACTCAAACGAATCCCTCATTAGTGGGTTTCAGGTAGTGTTCTTGCTTTTGGTCTGCGGGTACCTTTCCTTATGTGGCTCCACTCAGCCTGCTCTGTGAGCTGGTCTGATCCTGAAAGGTTACAGAGGAAACTCCACTCGTGACCTGATTGTTTGACTCCTCAGGCCCAAAGAATGGGAAGTCAAATCGGCAAGAGCAGGAACTGTGGCAAAATTCCCAGATATATCATTCTTCCTCCTCCAGCAAGAGGAGTTTTAGAGCTCAATGCCCCAGACACCCAGAGGACAGCCATGTCCTTGTCCAGGCTCCCGGCGAAGCGGGCAGACACTGTGACCCTGGTCCCTCCTGTTAAGGTGACACTGCTTTTTGAAAGTATCAGTAGATTGAACCTGAAAGTTCCAGACAGCAATCTGGTAGAGCAGGAAACCTGGGAGGGTCTGTCAGGGTGGGATAGGGGCTGAAAAGGGGGAACCTTGAAAAGGAGGCGAAGAAGGAGAGGTGTAAGCTTCTTACCTTCTAGCACACTTTGGCCAGGGGTGGGGGATAGTAAACACCTTGGAAGGCACGTCAGAGAAGTTTCCCGCTTCCTTCTCCTTGAATTTTTTTTTAGCACAATCACAATTATAAACATCCTGAAAGATGACTGATTGATTTGCTGTCTAGCATTGAAAAACTGTCTTACCAGACAGTGTGCTTAATGTCAAGTCATTTCTTTAGGTCATTGCTCATGGTCATCCACTTAAAACTTGAAAGCGAAAATTGAAAGGAAAAAAAAAAAGTTGGGAGCAAGGAAGCTGGAAATAGAGGCTGGCTTAATTCTTTAATTTTTAATTCTGTCCAATCTGCCTTATCATCTGGTCTCTCTTGCCCCCATTCATATATGAATGAGATCACTAGCACTTTCCATCCCTCCTCTTTAGTTACAAAAGCAGTCCAGATCCTTTTGCCTGGGATGTAACACCTTCCCAGTCTGGCTTCACATTCTCTCCTCCCCCCTCCCAAACTTATCATTCTCTGCTTTCCTTTCAAACCCCATATTCAAATAACTAAGATATTTCTGTTCCCATCCGAATTTCTAATTCTTTTCCTTATTTTAAGACCCCTCTCAAATGCCT